TACTTTTCGCAGCTAATCAAATCGATCCGCGCGTTCATCCTATTTAACGAGCAATAATATGTCTGTTTTGGTTCTGTCTGAACCAGATATCTAATACCTTTAGATTTATACGCGTCTTGACATGAGAAATCCACAATAATAGACTATGGTGATGTTTGGATGAAACTAAGTCATAATTATAAAAGTAATTTTACAGTATACAAAATAAAATGTGAAAAAAAATTTTATTTCAACTTTTATAAAAACGGTTTTTAAAGTACTTTTTATGTCCGTCAAACACCACGTATGTCCAATCCTTGTTAGAAGCTATCTAAATGTGATCATCGAAGTTTTAAAAGCGCTCGTTAATGAACGTTCAAGTGATGAATTATTTAATCTTTACGAGGCGTGGATGTTCGTTAATAATAACAAAACATTATAATAAAAATTAGAGAGAATAATTTATACTTAAGCCAACAGGATAATATAAAATTGAAGAAGAGAAGATTGAATAGAAAAGTAGTTCTATTATATACTAGTATTAGGGTTGAAAGGGTAGATGAACACATTGAATAGAAAAGGGCAAGTGGGAGGAGGATATGTGGAAATGGAAGTAGGAATTGGGAAGTCACAGATTCGTCATACCATAACGTCATCCTAATTACATCATCCTCTGACCAACTTAGCTTCATTTACAACAGTTCTGTCCCCAACTCACAGCTCATCTCTGCTGTGCACATGACCCGATCATCTCCTCTTCATTTAATTCCCTTCAGTTCCGGCGACTCCAGTTTCTTTCTTTTCTTTTTTTTTTTTTTAAAATATAGAGTACTAGCAAGCAAGCAAGTATCCTCCTCTCTCCTGCCGCGGAATTGAATATTGATGTGCGTCGGCAAAAGGTGATTTTGCAACAAACACTTTTTGTTTTTGAGGAAAATTAAATGGGGGAAGGAACCGCAAATGCAATAGGAATGCAATTTCTGGTTCATGTCGGTAGTGTCTTCGTCCTAAGGCTCCCAGTTCATCAATCCAATGCCGACCCATTACGCCTTCAATGGCTTTTCACCCTTCACACTATTATATACCAAGCATGTTCTAAATGCTCCTTTATTAACACTCCCCACAGCTCTCCCCTTGGAAGCATCCTGTCCTCTCCACCTATCCAAATCAGCCTTCCATTTTTTCACCTTTGATCTCGTGTAGGGTAGATTAAAGAAACTAGTTAAATCACTTATTTTTTTAAAAAATATGTGTTTATTTGTATTGGAATTATCCTTTGATACAAAATTTTATAATATGTGTAATCAACAGGGATAGTTTGAAAAACAACTCATAAATATAAAGAACTAAAATAGATTGCACTTTTATATTTAGAGTCCAACAGCCTTCGGTTAGTTCTTACGTTAGGAATCAAGTGTGATATTAAAATATTTCCAAAATTCTATAAAAAAAAGTTTAATAAATTACTTAATTTTAATAAATGTAATATAATATCTTAAAATATCTTCATATAATCATATTAGATAGTGGAAGATAAATTAATTTTTAAAAATTATAAATATTTTTATATTTAGAATGAAAATAAATTTCGTAAGTAGCTCCTCCATCTAGAATGGGAGGAGTATTTAATTTTTGTTTTGGTGGTGAATGAATTACCCTTTTTTTTTCACCATGAGCTGTGAATATACTCCTTTCAGTTTTAAATATAAGACTCATTTTATAATGCTACATTATAAAATAATTCTTATATTTAAAATCGTAGAAAATTTTGTCCACGATGTTTGAGTGTTTTTCTTAACCAAAAAAAGGGCTGGTAGGTGCAATGAGTGACATATGTAGGCCGTGATAAGTCGGCAAACCGTTTTCAGCAGCGTTGAATGAAGAGAAAGAAGAAGGTGGCGGTTGGATTCATTCATTGTAACTGAAAAGGGCATTTTTTTTTGGTATAAACCATCCGGTATCCAACCGTGTCTTTTCTGGGCTTCAGCCTCTTTGGGTCAGTTGTACCCGAGTGATCGACTAGTCCGGATTTGGGCCGGGTGACAAGTAAAACCCTCCTCGATACCCTTTTTAACAAGTGAGGATTCGAAACCCCGCCCTCAAAGAGCAGAGACTCGCCTTACTTGTGACCTAGCCAATCACTACTAGGCCAGGAGTATTCGGGTACTGAAAAAGACATTAGGCTCTAGCCGAAAAAAGTTAGTTTTTTATAATATGATAAATTAAAGTTTAAAATTTTTTTTCAGAAATAGTATATATATTTAGTATTTGATAGTGTGTCAAATAAAATTATTTTTAATAAAAAAATTTCTATTTAAACCAAAAAAAACTCACTGGACAATTCATTTAGCTTCGTTACGTATCTAAAAAGTATAATGGGAGTTACTCTCACTCTATAGTTAAATCTGTCTTTAACTTTATTCTTATTGATAAATTTTGAAGGAGAATGAAAATACAAAATTTTACAATTAAATATTAATTATAAATGTTAATTATTTTTTAAAGCCATTTATGGATCTAGGGAGTACCTATATCAGAGGGATAGGAGGTGTTAGGAGATCATGAAGAGGGTAATCAAAGATCGACACGAGTTAGGCAGGTGCTCCCTCCGTCTATTGTTATAAATTTTTTTCAAACTAAATTATACGTTTTAATTAAAACGGTTAAAATTAATTAAAAACAATTAATATGTACTAAAAGTAATTTTTTTTTCAAATATACCCTTATATATAAATGGATAAATATGAGAGAGTAATAATGAGATAAAAAAAAAAAAAATGTATTAAATGCATTAAATTAAGAGTAAAACAGGTAATAATACGTTAAATACCCGAATAAACTCAAAGAAGAAATTATAAAAAGGAACATGCCCATTTAAAAAAATTAAATCTTATAATAAGAAACGGAAAAGTATGTGATACTTCCTCTAATTCTATTTATGAGTTTTAATTTGAGATTTGTCTTAACATTTAACGCATTTTTTATTTTTGTTCTTATTTATTCTCTCTCTTATTATATTGTTTTTTATGATATTTTTGTACACATTTTCTTTCATCTTTTTTCTCATTTATTATAAAAACATATTTAGAAACAAAATTATATTTCTAACTTATTTATTACTTATAGCTAATTTTAACTAACAGTTTGTTATCCGTAAATTAGTTATCTGAGGCTGACTGAAGGAAGTATTTTAGATGTAAATTTAGGATTTTTTTTTTTGCAAAAAATGCAATGATGAAGAAATTAGGAGGGAGAGTAGCACTAGTGAGGAGCACTGAGAGATGAGTGAGTGGTTAGAAGTTAGAACCAATAGAAGTGAAGCGCCGTCCCATAAATGTGACAGAACGAATTCGCCCACTCCAACCCCACTCCTGTTTCTGCAGTACCCCCTCACTCAATTTCATGGAAGAAGCAGTTCAATTCAAAATTACTGCCCCTTTAATTATAGACTTAAAAGGGTATTTGATTTAACTTTTTGAAAATAATTTTACTATATTCGAGATAAATAAGTTTATTTTGCCTTACATAAAAACACTTTTTAAAAGATGTTTATAGTGTATTCCAAACACTCCCTTCAAATGACACTAAACTCCCAACTGCAATTCTATGCTTTGCCTTCTTTTCACCAGTGTTATAATCTGGCGATCTAAAGACTCTTTATAAGTAAAAGACTGTGAGTTTGACCTTATAAGATTAGTTTGATGCTCTCCCTGTCATGATGCTTTTCATTATGGACGGAGTTCACTGGGCAATATCTTTTGCTTTAATCTGTAGTCCTTTTTCGTGACTTAAGGTTTTAGTGACTAAGATGAATGAACCTCCACGCACGCGATACGCTATTTTCAACGCTTCTATCAATAAAAGTCTGAGACACCCCATTTGCTGTGTTCCCATATGGCTACATACGCTTCCATTTAGGGACAATGACCAAAAAAAGAATCTGAAATTTTGCAAATGCCAAATAAGAAAAGTCAATAAAAATTTGTTGTCGTTTGTAAATTTAAACTTGTTAATACTAAATAAAGTTGTGTTACCAAAATTTTTAGTTTTTCTTTCCTGTTATTTTTCCTTCCATTTATCCCCTTCCTCGTGTTCTTTTTTGGGGAAATTTCACTGTAGGACCGCAGAAGACAAATAATCTCAAAGAGCCCTCAAAACTTTCTGAAACCTCACTGCAGGACCAAGGGGCCAATCTGATATTAATTCCACAAGCGAAATGACGCCACTGCCCCTAATGAAGACTTATTTCCTCCGAAAATGAGACATATTATCAGCGGGTGTAAAAGACGGAAGAAAGACGGAAAGGGGGGAGATGGCGTTATTTCCTACCTCTCCCATGCAGCGCGCCGGTGCGGAAGGGAGATAGCTGACAACCATGAGCTGAGAAAACGCAGTGGCGGAGCTTCACTTTTGCGGTCCGTCCCTCCGCCGTCTTTCGGACTCCAAGCTAGAGTTGGTGCAAGAGAGAGAAGTCGCAAGTGTGCCCTACAGTGTTGCGTGTTCTCTGGAAGTAGCGTCAGGTTGGCGTGGGAGGTAAGATTTTATTGTTAAAATTTTGGTTTTGTTGGTGTGATTCGGTTAGCACAGGTGGGTTGTGATGGGTGAATGAGGAAGAAATGAGTATTTAAGTGCATGGGCATGTAGGTTGGGAGTGAGTTGCAAATCTTACGGTTTTATGGTTTAAGAAATTCATGCTGATGCTGTTTTAAGTTGTTAAAGATGTGGTGTTTGTGATGTTTTGAAAAGTGGGTGCATATTGAGAATAATGCACTGCTGAAGGAACATAGGTAGGCGAAAAAGAAAGGGAAATGGGTGTGTGGGCTGGAATGGGTTATATGACAGGTAGACGCGCAGAGGAATGGTGAAAATACATAGTATGATGTAAATTTGGTAATTCTGGTTGTGTGCGAGAAAAAGCAATATAATGTTGTGAAAATACTAATTCTTGTTGTCAATTGTCAAATTGCTGATGTAAACGTACGTTGTGTCATACTTGAATGATGTGCAGCAGCAGAGGATAAATGGCTAGCAGTAGTAGGAAACAAGTATTTTGCATCTTTCATGTTAGAGGGCACTTTGTAAAGACCTCAGAAGGGAAATTCATTTATGAAGGGGGCATCATTACTGGAAGATTGATTAGAGAAGGGATGACATATGAAGAACTACAATGCATGGTAGCTCATGATGTGTGGCCAGGGACTTGTGAATATAAAATGAAGTACACAGTTAGCTTTGACCGGGATACATTCTTGGATCTTGTTGACGATATTGGTGTTGGACAAGTAATTGAGTACAATAATAGTAGTGGTCATGTTTATGTTTGTGAGAATGAGAAAGACTTCACACAAGTGTCACAGCTGGACAGTGTACAAGAGTAAGTTGTTCTCAACTGGTTTTATTAAGATTGTGTGTAGGATAAGAAAGAATATGTCCAATTTTGATAAATTGAACTGTAATACTGAATAGCTGTATTTGTTTATGCAGGTTAGATGATTTGGTTGGCCCTTGTGGAATGTCAGTATCTGCAATTGAATTGGATCTAGACACAGACAACATAAACATATCTTCCGTACAAGATGTGCCAACACTGATAGGAAGTGTAGGTATGGAAACGTTGCCAACCCCAATAGCGGTGATGAATTCATCAAAGTGGGCAGATTTGTTGATGTCAAGAGGGCAAACCTTTGTTAGTGCTGAACATTTTAGAGAGGCATTATATAAGTATAGCCTTGCACACAAGTTTGGTTACCGGTACGTAAAGAATGATAGGCATAAGATGATTGTGAAGTGCTGTGTAGATGGTTGTCCCTGGGAAATTTCAGCATATGGTGTAAGTGAGAATAATGGATTCCTAGTTGTGAGAAGATTTAACTGTGAACACTTGCATTATGCACAAGACAACTTAGTTGTCCCTCAGAGAAAGAGGTGCAAACTTGCTTCAGCAGTCATAATAGATGAGTTGATTTCTTGCATGCACAAAGCTCCAAATGACATTAGACGGGATTTGGAAAGAGAGTATGGGTTGAGGCTCAACTACCAACAAGCATATAGGGCGAAAGAGAAAGCATTGGCAAAAATTCATGGTTGTCCGCAGGAGTCTTATATGCTAATCCCTTGGATATGTGAAAGGCTGAAGGAAAGTGATCCAGAAACGGTAGCAAAGTGGGTTGCATCATCAGATAATAGATTTCAAGCTGTATTTATTGCATACGGTTGCTGTGTAGAAGGGTTTTTGAAAGGTGGCAGACCTGTATTATATGTGGATGGATGCCACTTGAGTGGTCCGTACAAAGGAACGTTATTGGGAGCACAAGCGTATGACGCGGATAATGAATTATTCCCACTTGCATATGCGATTGTTGGAGGTGAGACGCTTGATGACTGGGCATGGTTTCTTGGTAACATAAAGGATATTACGGGATCATTAGAAGTGACAATAGTATCGGATAGACACAACTCAATAAAAGGTGCAGTGCAAGCCGTGTTTGGAGGAGATCGACATGCTTTTTGCTACCGTCATGTGAAGGAGAATTACAGTGCTGAGTTTTTGAAGATAACTAGGGGAAAGAGGAGGACCAGCAGACAGACAAAGGAAGTTGCACTAAAATTACTTGATTCTATTGCATACGCAAGACTTGATAGAGACTTTGATTGCAGTATGGAAAAGCTAATGGCATTTTGTCCAGAATTAGGACAATGGCTTCAAACAAATGGAGACATTGACGTTGGGCACAAAGCAAATTTCCTTACAAGAGGTGGGACAATATCACAACAAATCTAGCTGAATCCTTTAATGCTTGGCTTGTTGGTGAGAGGAAGCACAACATAGCTGTCTTGATACATGAGCACAGGGAAAAATTGGCAAACAAGATGTACCACAGCAAAGAAGCCATGACGAATTGGAGCAATGGTGTGGGACCTAATATAGAGGAAAAGTTGATGGATCATGTGGCCAGATCAGAAAGAATGGATGTGCAAAATTATGGAATGAACAATTTCAGGGTCAGATGGGGAAACCTAGATGTGCGGGTAAATCTTGTGTTACGTGAATGCACCTGCAAAGGTTGGCAAATGTCAGGACTACCTTGCCCACATTCATGTGCTGCAATCAAGAAGGTATATGGTAATATATATGCATATGTCGAGGATTGCTTTTTACTCTCAGCCCAAAAGAAAATTTATGGCAGACTCATGATTCCAATTGAGACCCATGACATCCCTAGGCCAGATTCTCTTCGATATGAAGATTACTCGTCCACCATCTTCCTACAACCACCATTGACAACTCGGCGTGCTGGAAGACCCAGAGTTAGGAGGATTGAATCACAATTCCAGCAGAAGAAAGCGTATCATTGCTCAGGATGTGGTGAAGCTGGTCACACTAGAAAGATTTGCACTAACCCGAACCCTGGGTGACTTTGTTGCTCAAAATGGTCTTTTATTTTTTTGGTTCAACACACAGCTACTTTTGTACATAAATGAGCCCCACTATGTAGTTGTTGAGTTGTTGGGGAAGTAGCTATGACAACCCATTTTGATTTTTTGGTGGTAGGTTCGATTATATTTTGTATAGTGGTGTCAATAGTTGAAAAATTTCATGACAGTAGGTGACTATAGCTGTCGCAGGATATGTTAGGCTGTAATCTGTCCACATGCGAATGGACTATTTTTAGTTGTAAATATTTGTATGTTGCAAATTGTGTAATGTCACTTGCAAACGGAGATTCCCCTGCCTGTCCACTGATGGACAGCTTCTTCAGGTGAAGGTCGTCATATGTAAATGGACTGATTACAGTTGTGAATATATATATGTATGTTGCCAATTGTCTAATGTCACTTGCAAATGGTATACGAAACCATACTTGGACAGCTTTTCTAGGTGAATCAGTCCACATGCAAATGGACTATTTTTAGTTGTAAATATTTGTATGTATGTTGCAAATTGTGTAATGTCACTTGCAAACGGAGATTCCCCTGCCTGTCCACTGACGGACAGCTTCTTCGGGTGAAGGTCGTCATATGTAAATGGACTGATTACAGTTGTGATATATATATATATGTATGTTGCCAATTGTCTAATGTCACTTGCAAATGGTATACGAAACCACACTTGGACGCCTTCTCCACGTGAATCAGTCCACATGCAAATGGACTATTTTTAGTTGTAACTGTATGTACCTATGTTGCCAATTGTCTAATCTCATTTGCAAATGGGCTCTTGCACACTTGTTCACCCACGGACACCTCCTTCAGTACGAGTAGGTCAGATACAAATGGATTATTTATAGTTGTGAAAATATGCATGTATGGTGCGAATTGTCTAGTCCCACTTGTAAATGGGCTGTCCCACACTTAAGTAAGACGCATGCATCAGGTGAATCAGTCCACATGTGAAGCCAAGTATGTGTCTTGCAAATTAGCTAGTCCCCCTTGCCAATATGAACGGACGGATTCCACGTGTGAATATAGGTATGTATTTTGAAAATAGGCTAGTTCCCCTTGCAAATGCGCTCTCCCGCACTTGTTCCCTCACGGACACATGCTTCAGCTGGACCAGTCGACATGTAAACGGACTGATTCCACATGTGAATATAGGTATGTCTTGTGCAAATTGGCTAGTTCCCCTTGCAAATGCGCACCCTGTTCAGGTCAAGGACGGCACATGTAAATGGATTGATTCCAGTTGTGAATATATGTATCGGAGTAGCAAATTCCCTAGTTCCTCATGGAAATGGACACCTTATTCAGGTAAAGGAGGGCACTTGCATATTTAAGAGGACACGTTGTTCAGCAGATGAACGACACTTGTGAATGCTCTAATTGCTGTTGTTAACTTATTTGTCTCTCTTGCAAATTGTCTAATCATTCGTGTAAAGGTCTAATCCCTGATGTAGGTTGTTCAGTTGGAAATGGACGAACATTTGGTGTTAATTCCTGTTTTGTTGGTGCAAATTCCCTAATTTCTGTTGTCAACCGTACATCTAATGAAAGTAAACAAGTAGTGATAACATGAATCCATCAAAACAGTCTTCATTAACATCTTTTGTATGCACAACATTTTAGTCCGCATAAAGTGTTCACAACAACAATTACAGTGCTTATCAGCAAAAACTACAAGGTAGGAATTTGATCAGTCATCGCTTTCTCTTGCGTTGTCTGTTAATGTGGTCAAGGTCTTTGGTAACAGCATCTGACTTGATGTTTCTTTGATGCGTCACGAGCCACCACAACAGCTCACACCGTATAGATGTGTATTGATCCTATGGGACAACAATAACTGTTCTCAGTAAGTTGACACAAATGCATAATGTCATTAATATATAATTCAACACCTACCGCTGTATAATAAGGCATGGTGAATAGAACTCCATCCTTCTCTTGTGGGTTGGGCCACTCTCGTAGATATGTGATGACATGAACCCCACAATCATCACTGAAAAAATGAACACATCACTATGCTGGCTTATCTATGTCAATTATAATTTATGACAAATAACTTTCAGTGAACAAAAGACTCACGTATTGTCTTGAACATGAACCATGGGATACAAGATGTCATTGTTTGAATCTGGGTTGGCCAACCCCTCCAGCTCAGGCTTCACTCTCTTTAGTATTTCAATGAAGTGTGTCCTCTACACAATTACAAATGATTATCACATAGGGGATACTATGGTTGTCCACAAAAGTAGCAGAATAATTACACCACTTACAAAAGTTTGCGCCATCATTTGCTGCCCCTTTAATGCTGGATCAGACTTATTTTTCTTCTTTTGGTGCTTCATTGTATCCTCACCACCACGCAGAGAGTCCAGCACATAAAACTTTAGTGTGCTCGGTTCAAACACAAAGCAAAACCAATGCAGTGCAAACACAACAGGTGCAAATATGTATTCACATTCAGCCAAATTGTATCCCAGGTGTTGGGGAAGTAGTTCTTTCAGGTGTTTGTCCACTTGCCATGCTGTGTGTTGCTGCACCATCCTTGCCTATCACAACAGCAAATTGCACAGCAATGCAAATTGTCAGTGAAGAAACTGTATCGATAACTTGATTGCACAATTTAAAGCATTGATCCATTAACAGGGGATAGCACTAACCGTGAAATCTGCATCAAATATGTGTCTTTTAACCGCAGAGGCACTCTGTCAGCGTTCAAGGTGTGGGCAATCAGAGTCATGATCTGTAGAATAAAGGAGCAGGAAAATTAAATTAAAATTGTGGCACATTCCATATATGGCCACTTTGATGTAACTTGAATAGGTGCACGTACCCTGTTGCTTATCTACCTTCTGGGACCCAGTGCTTGTAGGTCTGATCGTGTTGCCAAATGCCCAAACATATCTACTGTAACATCTAGACTTTTAGGCCTAGAAGTTCCAGAAATAGCCTAAATTAAATAGGTTACCAGACCCCTGTGAGCAGAAGTCCCAAAGATGAAAAAGGAAGTTAAAGCAGTTTCAGGGACTATACTGCAAAGTAAAAGTTTTCAGGGGCTCGAGTATAATTAAGGTTAGAGGCTCCAGTAAAGTCTCGAAGGCCCAAAAAGAGAAAAGAGACAAGATACAGGCCAAAGGTTAAGCTAGAAGCCTCAAAGAGAAGATTATATGAAGCTAAGTCCAAGAAGGGACTAAACTGTAAATTCATAAAGTTATGACCAACAGGGGTAAAAATGGAAGAGTACGCAGAGAATTCCAAGAAAATCCTAGAAAATGGGAAATAATATTCTAAGGCTCTTCTATTAAGAGAAAAGATGAAAATGCCCCTGAGGCAGCTTCAACGGAATTTATGAGGTTATTACCGGTAAAAAGTATACCATGTGAGGTAATTATTTGAAATAGCAAGAGACCTCAAAAGTGTATACAAAAATGAGGTTAAAGGGTTGAAAGGTTGTACTAATTTATAAAATTAGTCCCGCAACTAAAAGGCCAGTAGAGTGGCTTTAAGAAATTAAAGAGCCGGTTTTTGCCGATAAAAGGGTATTTTAGTAAATGAATTTTATGCAAGGCTTAAAGGAAGTGTTATGGGCTAAGAAAATTCATAGATACTCTCTAAAATTAAAGAGAATTTATGAATCTGACAGAAAATAATTACAGAGGCCAGAGCACTGTAATTAGAGAAAAGAAGTTAAACCCGGAGTAAAAGTGCACCGATAAAGTATTAATCAGAGTCTTGCACTTTACTTGGGCCACAAGTCGCCACTTGTCAAGCCTTTAATGGATGGTAATTAAAGCTTTCCAAGTGTCAAGCTACCAATGGAGAGGATCTTGACTTTGGAATTTAATTACATTATGATTTAAGTTAATTAAGAGAGAGGATTAAGATTAAGTAGGCTAATGACACTTGGCATAACATTAATGATGGTTGGTGGGATATTTTGTACACATTAATGAGCTCATCTCTCCCTAAATCAGATGGGAATTTCGTGCAAGGCATGAAGAGAGGGAAAAAGAGAGAGTTTTGAGGGAAACCAAGAGAAAGGCATCAACTTTGGTCATACAATCAAGGTTCAAGGTGAGTTCTTGGCTCTAGATGTGTTCTTGCCTTGGTTTCTTTCTCTTTTATGGTTGAAAATATGTCTTCTCTCCCTTTTGATGGCTGTTCGAAATGGTTGATGAGTGGGGAAGGGAGTTTGGTTGTTAGATCTTGCTAGAACACCTCAAAGTATGGTAGATCCAAGTGGATCTATGTGAAAATTGGAAGAATTACGTGCTGATTTGATGGCTTTTTCGAATTAGTTACTGTTCATATCTGGTTCTGAAATTTGGCATGCTTAAAGTACAC